TATGTATCCAAATTTATCTCCCGTAATACGATCAGTTGCTCATGGTCTAGTCTACTCTTATCTTACCCTGTAAAACCAGAATCATATGTTTTAGTGAATACGGTAGAAGTGAATTCTGAAGATAATTTTCATGTTTCTAACGTCACAGATACCCACATGCCTCACATACCCAGATACCCTGCACACATGAAGAAATCTTAATAAACGCTGGATTACGTCTTGAATAGTTGCAATATTAAATTATAATATTGAATTCGTTGATGTGAAATATATTTGCAAGAATGAAATAGATCAATATTCTGTTAAAAATGCTGCTGGATTACTCAAAATAAAGCTGTTGTTGTGAATGCATTTAGTCAAGCCAGATCCAAACAATTGTGATCCGTGTTTGTTTTGCTAGATGTCGGAACGCAGGGTAGTAAATGTGTTGCATTAAATATTTCTGAATTTTGCAATATTTACCTTCCACCCTTGCACGACAAGCTGGAGCTTTCCGTTCTAAGTCAAGGACAGAAAAAGAGCGTTCGAAAACTTACATGATTACAAATCTTAGTGAGCAAAAAATTCCATGAACTTATTTTTGGTGGTCCTTAGACACTGAAGTCAAAGCGTCCTTGGGAACAAAAAGAAAATACGCAACCCAACACACACACACAAAACGGATACTCACAAACGAGAGAGAACGCGCGAAAGAAACAAAGAAGGGGAGAGAGTCACAGAGATAGAGAGAGAGAGGGACACGCACAGAGAGACACACGCACAGAGAGAGAGAGAGAGACACACGCACAGAGAGAGAGAGAGAGACACACGCACAGAGAGAGAGAGAGAGAGAGAGAGGGACACGCGCACAGAGAGAGAGAGGGACACACGCACAGAGAGAGAGAGGGACACACGCACAGAGAGAGAGGGAACACACGCACAGAGAGAGAGGGACACACGCACCAGAGACGAGCACAGAGGAGGACACACGCACAAGAGAGAGAGAGAGGGACACAGGCACAGAAAGAGAGAGAGAGACGGGACACAGCCACAGAGAAGAGAGAGAAGAGGCGACCACAGGCACAGAGAGAGAGAAGAGGGGACACAGGCACAGAGAGAGAGAGAGGAGAGGCGACACCAGGCACAGAGAGAGAGGAGGAGAGGGACACAGGCCACCAGCAGAGAAGAGACACAGGCACAGAGAGAGAGAGAGAGAGGGACACAGGCCACAGAGGAGAGAGAGAGGGACGCAGGCACAGAGAGAGAGAGAGAGGGAACACAGGGCAGCAGAGAGAGCAGAGAGACACAGGACCAGAGAGAGAGAGAGGGGGGAGGACACAGGCACAGAGAGAGAGAGAAGCGGAACAAACAGGCCACAGAGAGAGAGAGAGCAGGGACACAGAGCACAGAGAAGAGAGAGAGAGCGGACACAGGCACCAGAGAGAGAGAGAGAGGACACAGGCCACAAGAGAGAGAGAGAGAGGGACACAGCACAGAGAGAGAGAGAGAGGGACACAGGCACAGCAGAGCAGAGAGAGAGGCACACAGCACAGGAGAGGGGAGAGAGAGAGTGACACAGGCACAGAGCAGAGAGAGAGAGACACAGGCAACAGAGAGAGAGAGAGAGGGACACAGGGCACAGAGAGAGAGCAAGACGGGACACAGGCACATGAGAGAGAGAGAGAAGGACACACGACAGAGCGAAGAAGAGAGGCGGACACACGCACAAGAGAGAGAGAGAGAGGGACACACGCACCAGAGAGAGAGAGAGAGGGACACACGTTCACAGAGAAGAGAGAGAGGGACACACGCACAAGAGAGAGAGAGAGAGGGACACACGCACAGAGAGAGAGAGAGGGGACACACGCACAGATGAGAGAGCAGAAGAGGGACCACACGCAGCAAAGAGAGGGACACACCACAGAAAGAGAGAGAGAGGGACACACGCACAAGAGAGAGAGAGGGACACACGCACATGAGAGAGAGAGAGGGACACACGCACAGAGACGAGAGAAGACGGGACACACGCACAGAGAGAGAGAGAGGCGACACACGCACAGAGAGAAGAGAGGGACACACGCACAGAGAAGAGAGAGGACACCACCCACAGAGAGAGGAGAGAGGGACACACGCACAGAGAGAGAGAGAGGACACACGCCACAGAGGAGAGAGAGAGGGACACACGCACCAGAGAGAGAGAGAGGACACACGCACAGCAAGGAGAGAGAGAGGGACCAACGCACGAGAGAGAGAGAGGGACACACGCACAGCAGAGAGAGCAAGGAGGGGGGGACACACGCAACAGAGAGCAGGGACACACGCAAGAGAGAGGGACAGCCACGCACAGACGAGAGGGACACACGCACAGA